GGACATGATAACTTTCGAGAGCTTAACTTTACAAAATGACGCCATATTTGTAGATTTAAAAAAAAATTAAGTTTCAAGATGTTCCTTTCATTTTCTTGTTTTTGTTTTGTTTTGTTTTTTGTTTTCTTTTTTTTTTTTTTTTTTTTGGTTTGTTTTTTTTTTCATTTCCCTTGTGTAAGACCTCATGGCATTTCCTGTCTTGCTATTAAGGAAAAGTCAATAAATCATTTTCAAGAAGTAAGCATATTATAATTGGTTATGGTTTGACCCAAGATGAATTAATCAACATAATCAACCTAGCTTTGTAGAGTTCTTTAATGTAGTTGAATAACTTATTTGATAAAATATTCTTGCTATTTTTTTTTTTTTCTTTTTTCTTTTTCTTTTTCAATTTATCATGAAACACTTATATAGGACCTCCTTAATCTTTAATCTCTGATGTATACCACTGACGTCATTGCTGTGTTCTCCCCACCTACTGCATCCATGCTTGATAAGACGTTGACTATCTCTGTCAAAATGGGCAAGATTAATATACAAGGGAAAAGGGCGACAGTTTGATAAAATTATATATGAAGTTGAACCTCAACTTATGATCCGAGCATTTGATTGAAATGAGTTGAAATGTTTGGTTTGAGGATTATCTTATACCGATGCTGCAATTGAAATAAAGCTTGACACTCCTTGATCAATATCAGCAATGTATGCATAATAGCTTTTCGTTAATGATTTGGCTGTGACAGAAAAACATACGGCAAGACATCATGTAAGAGACAAAACCAACGTCTTTAACGGTCATCTGACGACAAAAACGTTATTCTTTCTACTTTGAATAAATTCTTACTAAGAAACTGTTTTCCATGATGCAGGTGGTGGTTTTGGTAAGGAGTAGGTAACTCTAACAAGTGAAACCTATTTTTTGACAGTAAAGTTGGCGATCAATCCAACTGGTGAAACTTGAGATGTTTGAAAATGTGTTGTATAGGAAAACCATAATTGCACAATCAAGTTACAAAATGGCCTCCCTGGCTGACATATCGAAGTTTTGATTAGGTCGAAAAATAACAGCACTGTGTTGGCGACCTTTTCTCCCCATTCCCACCAATTTTAGCTGAATGGCACCATTGGAACTGGGTGAGAAGTTTAAAATAGGACTTGTCAAACTGGCGGCCATCTTGGATTTCAGGCATACCCGAAAAATCACAACACTTGGTCAGGACCATCTCATGATCATTCCATGCAAGTCTGAGCTCTATTCCATCAGTGAAACTTGAGAAGTTTGAAATAGGTGTTGCATAGAAAATCCATGATTACGCAATAAAGATTCAAAATGGCCTCCCTGGCTGCCGTATCAAAATTTTGGCTAGGTTGAAAAATAATAAAACTTTGTTGGCTACCTTTCCTTAACATCCTCGCTATATTTTAGCTCAATGGCACCAGCAGAACTGGAGAACAAGTTTCAAATATGTTTTTCAATATGGCGGCCACCTTGGATTTCAGACATGTCCAAAAATAGCTACACTTGGTCAGAACTTCCTCACTCAGAATCATTTGCTACAAGTTTGAGCTCAATCCTACAAGTCGAACTTGAAAAGACGTTTGAAATGTCAAAACGTTTGCGCACGGCGGACGAAGCACGATGGCTATAGGTCAGATGACCTAAACATCACAATCAAATGAAAGTGAATAGAGGTTGACAAATTTCCATGTAATTTATAGAAATAATATGTATAGGAATTAAGCATTATAATATGAATTCGGTAACAACAGGAAAAGGAGCTTATTTCACAGTTGTTATAACATTGAATAACTAAATAGCAGATAATTAGACATTGTGCAAAATCGTCCGCAAACACGCACTACGCAGTATCTAGCGCAATTGTGCAATATAATCGCATATTTGGTGCTGTCCGGTAACAACGGTTAGTTAATATAACAGATTGAAAGTAACACTTGACCGTGCATTAATTAGTCTTGCTTTCGGACAATTTCACACCTCAGAGAGAAGCGAGTGGTGTGCCTATTTGGTTCAGTTTTCAGTTGCCACAGCTTATCAGGTTAAGATATAATACAAATATCGTGCATTTTATATTACCTTACGCAAACAACATGTGCTCATTATCATTATCACCTACTTCAGACTGACATCGGCACGTTTACAAATGGAAAACGCGGATCCCAAAAACATTAATTTTACAAAAAACAACTGTCTGCTCTTGAATACTGCTGTGGACAAATATAGGACGAAATAAGTGCCACGATAGATCGTTACATTTTGTGTGTATCACACATATTTTTACCCATGGAATTGTCCTTGATAAAAGACAAGGCATTGATTAATATCCGCTCTAATGATGTTATAATCAGAGTGGACTTCATTGTTTTAAAATATTCATAGTGTCCTTGTTTTAATATGAATAGATACAACTTTGTGATATTTTATCATAAATGATATATAAGATCATCAGGTAGTTTTTGTCTTTGTGACAATTTCTTGTGGTCATTTTAGAAACCTCACTAAGTGCATAATATCTTGTCTGTAGTACTAAGCCATAATAGAATTATTCAATGGTTTATAATTTTTGGTGATTTATTGTCAAATTTCTTTTTTTCTTCAAAATTATGATACCAAATATGAAATATATGATAGATAATAAGGTAAATATAGGGGGTAGTTATGGTGATGCAGCTAGTATTATATAGTATATGTAATTTAAGTGTTTTATTATTACATTGCAATCAAGTCATTAAGTCATTAACTCTGTTATCACCCTGAACTAGATAATGGTAGAACAGTTTTGGAGTGCATACTCAACAAACGTCCTATTACTAATTCCATCTACAGCAGATTGAGGGCGATTGTCCAATGTCATCTGTGGAGGGTACTAAGGACAGCCCAAAATGAAGTCTTCAAAACTCTGTATTTCACTGTATGACGTTAGGAGACGAATAAAGGTGGCCCTTTTGTCGATTTGAATATTTTCTTCCCTGTATTTTAATAAGCGTGCATTGCAGTGACGAAAATGGACCTGCAGCCTAATTGCAGGAGTAAGGATTTTCATATGTTTGTTTCTTTTCTGTCCTGCTCTTCCGTTCTATTTGTGATTTTAGTGTCCCGCTTGACATCCGCCCGTTTACAATCCCGCTATTGCAAAGACGTTAAACACCGTAAATAAACCAAAAACCAGACGTCTTGTTACTTAGTACAATATGTGTTTTTTTTATTTGGGATGGACGATTTCCTTTTAATTTTAACGAGAATATCGCAGAGTTTCTTTATTCGGCACCAGTTGTTCTGTATCCTAATTCGAAAAGAGGTTGTAAAAGACCATGAATCACTCATACAAGTAAGTAATGCTCGTTTATACTAGCAAATTAGGTTGAGTTTACAAGAGGTCTTCACATAACTCAGCGGAACATGACACCGTCACGTTTGGAAAAAGCATACAGCATTAGAATTGCAAAATCTGCTCCCCGCCCTTTAATGCGACTGACGACGCTAAAAATTCGTTACACATAATTTGTTTTGTAAACAAATCTATAACGAAATGACACGAAAGAATATCACATTTTTTGTGAATCACACATAGCTTCACCCGTGAAATTGCCGTTGATGAATGACATGTTGCTAATAGCTCTTAAGTATTCTCCTCACATACGACTTAATAAATGTTCTGTTGCCAGCTTTAGAGGAGATTCTGGCATTTAGATTAAATAACAGTTCAATTATTTGAACATACATATATTTAATATGCTCGTTGATGTTGTGATCGTTATATTATACATTAACAATAGGTTCAATAATATTACATTAGAAACAATTTTAACAGCTGTGGCAGGAGTAATCAATTTACTTACAATTAAAACAATACCCATCGGTGCGTAGGATGTGATGAGCAATTCACCGTTAATTATTTTTATGGGACTGCATTCACCTTCTGTCTACTCGAGAACATTTTTTATCGTAACATTACAAATCTAAAGACCCTTTTTGAAACTATTGAGATTAATAATATTCTACGTTACCTATAAGATGTTGGTCTGTATTAAAGACTATGACTTACGATTTAAAATTGTTTGTGATAATACAACCATTTAAAACTTTTAGCAAGTATTTTTACCTTTAGTTTGTTTGATGTTATTTCCTTTTTTGATCGCTGTGTGTTTTACCAGTTGATGGTCCTAATGACCCTTTATTTGTTGACGGGCCGTTAAGAATGTCATAATAATATATATATAACATTCGATACTTTGAAGAAAATTATAATCCCGTAGAATAGTACATTTTCTTTATACTATACAAGATCTTTAGGTGCCTGTTTGTTAAAATTACTTGAGTTCGGTATTCAGATATCTCTTTTCTATCCTAACTACAGACCAATATTTTATGCACCACTTATTCACCCGTACACAAGCGTTCCGTTTAATTTTCAACCCATAATATTAATCAGCTTACCTTAACCATTTTTTTTCAGGAATGATGCTGTCGTGCAGTTTTCTAAAAAAACAACCGTTAGAGGAAAAGATTCAGCGAGAAATAAAACTGATCAAAGTGTCTATGAAATCTATATACAGCCCATCCATGTCTTGTTTTCATATATTTTATTGTTGCTCTCGAATACTCATTATTGCGATATAGCTTCTGAAAATAGTTGTCTTACATTCAAATACTCTTTATGCAAAAATAACTACTCAGATTTATCCTATGTTCACACATTAGTTTTTGTTATATAAAGCATAATGTGAAGGGAAAATTGCAAAAAATTGCAAGCAACTGCAGGCGCTTTTGTGTCTACTACCTGTTAATGTGCATGCGTTGACAAGATAAAACGATGCAGTGATATCAATGTAAAATGACTAGAATCGCAACATTTAATTACTCCATATAAAGGAAATGAATATTCATATATGTACTTGAAGTGATTTTTGCAAGAATTTTGCTGGCTATATATTCACGAATGTTTACAAGAAGAGTGAAAGAAGATTGACTCCAGCAGCAGATGGAGGAACTAGAAGAAATAGCAATTGTCGGTATCGGCTGCCGATTTCCTGGAGCCAACAACATCCAAGAATTCTGGAATGTTTTGGCTAATGGAGAAAACCATGTTAAAGAGATACCAGGAGACAGATGGAACCTTGATGCTGTCTACGATGCCGATCCAGACGCATACGGAAAAACTTATGTCCGCCGTGCAGGGCTTTTGTCCAAGTGAGTACTATTTACAAGATTGCATTAAAAAAAAGTTATATGGATGATTTTACATAGTCTTAATATTCAAATACCAATTAATACCGTGCCAGTCCCCAACAATCACAAAGAGTTATAAATAGTAATTTTGTAGTGTCACCAAGGATAAAATTATTAAGCAACCATGCCCCTTTAATCAAATATCATCATGCGTATCGACCTTAGCTCTCTGTATCATTGGTATTTACAATGTGTTACATTGTGGTGTACGAATCTAATTGTGCTAATAAGGAAAGATGTTTTTTAGAAATAATTCTGCAGAGTACATAGATAACAAAATTATAACAAACATGGATTCCTTGTCGGTATGTTGAATTGATACGGATCGATCGGACTCCCTAATCGGAAACAAATTATTTTCCATATCATACATATAACATTTATTTTCGCATCTTCGTATGATCTATTTTTTGTGTGCGTGTAATTGATAATCTGACAATTCTGTCATATGAAAACTGTTCTTAGCTGTTAATATGATATATAGCTTGTAACAAATATAATTTTGTATTAATTCAACCATTAACATGGATGGCATTTTTTTAGAAGTTTTGACATTTTTGTAGGAAAGACCTGTCTCGATTGTTACCAGGAAACGCCTTTATGACCAAAGTTCTCTGGATTTCTATCATCTATGAGCTAAGGGACTAAATGGTTAGATGTTCATTTCATAACTGATAAAATGCATTATAACATTTAAATACCTGTTAAACATTGTTCACTTTGGGTTAATTATGATATTTTAAAGTTTTCATAATCATTTTGACATCTTATAATAATTAGAATAAAATTGGAGCGACCCAACACTAATTCATATCATTATTGTTCGGCGTCTGCGTGTGTATTTTTAGATTCAGATTAATTAAAATTCCGTTATTTGTTCTGTCACGCTTACAGCTTCAAGCAGTAGGTCATTGAAACATGGCAAATTAGGTTTTAGCTGATTACATAAGTATGCATAGTAAGAAATAATATAAAAAGTGTGTGTGTGTGTTTGTGTGTGTGTAAGTGGGGGGGGGGGGAGCTAGGGTGGTAGAAACAACAGTGAGCGTCAACTAGCGCTAGTTTGAAGGTGATAATCTTTAACAGTTTCTTTCAGATAGTGTTTGAGTTTGAGTCAAAGGGCCGGTTTCCAAAACGGCCCCTTCTCTGATTCAAATTTCCTGTTGGTGGTGCATTGCCCATGCCGTTGTGGTCACAAATATATAAAGTATAAAGATTTAGGTCACTTGGTTTGTTTTTTATGGCTCCTCAAAGTTGTACCTTTCAGAAGCTGTCTAAGTGTTGATAAAATGTGCATGTTATGTAAAATATTAATGAAAATCTAATCAAATGTCACCGTAAAGAATACATTCATGGCATGATTGTGACAAAAAATCATGTTTCCATCTCGCCATTTGGCTGTTTTATGGAAGAAACAATCTCAAAAATGCCATTTTCGATAACATTTTAGACACAAAAACTGTGTTTTTTAGAGAATACACCCTTTTATGGGCGTTGGATGCAAACCAATTTTTATCCTATTAAATAGTACGTAATATGCTATTGATGAGAGGAAAAATCATCAAAATGTAAGTGGTGGAACATTTTCAAATGTTGGGTTGAATTAGCCTATGGTTGAATTGCCGATTTTCGACTTTCTTTAGATAATTAACAAAATAACGAGAGAATTTGCTCGGTATGTTGAGAATATGTACACAGATATGAAAAAAAGTGAGAGAAACACTTTTTCATAAAAAAAATCCAAGATGGCTACTTCACAAGTCCACGTGGTTGAAGACATTGGCTGACAAATAGACAGAACAACAAACAAAACGTGTTCCTTATGATTTTGGTTGGTTTTCGCATTTACGGGAGTGTTCATAGCTACGGGCGATTGTATAATACCTATTTTTTTAAGTTTGGTTAGTCACATGGTAACGGGGATCTTTCATATCGAGCCCCAAACATACTTTCAACATATGTACTCCGTTGCCGCATGGAAAACTATTTCAAGTTTTGTCGGAATTTCTTTACCTGTGGTTGTAATGGTCGAGGGTTTTCCAGCGTCCTGTAATACCCAATATAGTACAAGATACTGGAGATGTGCGCACACATTCCCATCGTTCTCTCTCCAACTGGGCACTGGCAGTAGTAGTCCTTTATTGGGGCCTCAACATCGGGTGAAACGGTGAACCGTATCCGAACTTTATATTTCGTTTGGCTTTTGTGTCGAGAATGTATTTGACATCGGAGAAGGTGTGGGGAGTGCTGGTAAAGCCACACCTCATAGTCTCCGTCATCACTTAAATGTTCGGCGATGTAACCAGGAGCCAGAGATATCTGATACGTTCCACACGTAATGGTTCTCAAGTAATCAAGATCGAGACGGGGAAACAGTACGGAAGATGCATCCATCTTGGCAAACTCGGACCTTGCCCGTCTAGATAGATCCGGATCTATTTTGACTCTCTGAGCTAAACCATTCGGTGTTGTCAAACGGTCCTTCATACGTTCAGCCATTAGTCTATCTTTGGCATCTCTCTCTGGAGATCTCTGGTAGATCGGTCCTCTAATACCATTAGGCTGTGACGGTTCGAAGCAAAGCCTCAATGACATTGATAAATCTGTTAGACACCAATTGCGTTCGGAAGAACGTCCAGTGTTTCAGACGACCATGATAGGATTCCACAATCCACCTCGATTTGGTGATAATTCTGTCAAGATTTGCTTGAACGTCAGAATGTTGACTTTGGCCGGGTTTCAGGTATGACGGCATGCTAACATTGAGGCCAGAGGCTTCGAGAACTGATAGGACATCTCTAAAACCTCGGTCAACGACAACGTTGTTGTCTGGTTGTAGCCAAGTAACTAGCTTGTCCATGACTTTTTTGTAATTGTAGCATCATTTTCGCTGCCAGTGAATGGTCCTACGGTGTCCAGAATGTAGCCATCTGGTAAGGCAATGCTCATGAATTTGACATAGTTTCTCTTCTTCTGGCAACAGTAGGACATTCTCTGGAGCTTTTGGTCGCTTTTCTGGATATAAATATAGGTGCCATCTCCAAAAAATGCTTCTGAAAAGACAGTATTGTGCCCGAGCAATTGTTCTCTTGTCAAGTGATCCGAACCTAGAAATTGTGGGACTATCGATGTGTCTAATGCCTGTACTATGAAGTGGAAAGTTTTGGACACACTTGACTTGGAAATTCCAAAAAGAGAAGAACACTGACTCTAGGAAATGTCGGTTTTCAGTTTTACCCAGAACAGTAATAGAGCATCGTGTGTAGTCTTGGTATATATACCAGATGAAAGATATGGGGAACAGTGCGAGTGGATTTCGCAGACTGGTTCTGTGAAAGGACGTGCGACATCTCTAGGAGGTCATTAATGAATTCGGACGATTTTGATGGTAACTGAGATTCCAAGGAACCTCTACCATCAAGGACAACCTCTGTAGACTGATCTAAGTCGTTACCAATAAGGTGAATGGAGCAGACGCGGGATGAGGTGGGACACCACAGTTTGTGTGAATAGATCAGGTGATGTCTTGCACGTTTTGGTAAGACTGATGATTTTGTTCCATTTTTTGGAAAGGTAACAAGACAGAGACAGCATTTTTTGTGTGAAGATGATCCATTCAAAAGATCATGAAGTGTCAGCAACGGCAGGATATGGGACGTGGAGTCGTCTTCTTCCTCTATTTCCTGGTTCTGCTCGGGTTCAGGTTCAGGCTGATTTTTGTTCCGAAAATACTTCATGTAGCACTTCTGGCAAATAAATGCTTGTTCTTTTGCTGACATCAATCCTTGTTGCACCAGCGTATCTAGGAGCCATTTATATTGTGGACTATTTACATTGCGTGCACTTCTGTTCTTATTGCCACTACGTTTCTTGAAGTATACTTGACACCCTTCTCCAACACATTTACCCTCCATCTTGAAAAAATAACGACTGGTTTATGAAGCGTCGATAAAGTAACAAAATAGCAAGCCACCGATGATTGCTGTAAACAGCTAATACTTAGTAGTTTGGTACAATTATGCGAAAATGTGTGATAAATAACGAACAACTAATTACACAAAATAACAAGACAATATAATAAATAGCATTCAATACCTTCAAGAAGCGCAGAATTGATTGATTACTTAGAACAAAATGAAGTATTTCATATAGATAATCTATCTATTCGATGTGGCGTGGTCGGCAGGCACAAAGAAAGTGAGACAAGTCAGGGTCCCAACCCTGACAGAGCAACAACGCTTTGGAGATGGGACAATAAAACAAGGACATTGAGACAAGAATAGCTAGCGTCGAGTGAATGATTTCGTAAACGTATAGACAAAGACAAGAAGATACGGATAAATGTACAAGGCCACACGATCAGAAAATTCAGAAGAGGACAGCTTGAGATAGAACAGTATTCGTGTATCAGGGTGTCCTCAGTGTAAATCTTTATATCGATGCTATTTATTTAGTCGTTACACATCACAAAACTGTCATGAAAATATCCGCTCTGATATTCAATATAAAAGTTTGTATACAATAAGCTATATAATAGGGTTTCAGACAAGGTTGTTTCTCATTTCCCCTTTTCTTTCGATTTACAACCACATTCAGGCGGCGATATGAGAACGTTCCACCACATGGGATTAGCTGATTTTTGGTACACATATGAAACAAGTAAAGCTCTATCCGATTTTCTGATGGAAATTTGCATCCAAAACTATATAACGGGAGAAAATTGCAAATTCATGGCATTTTTCTTCATAATTGTGTCTCTGCAAGTGCATTTTCATCCGAGAATATATTTTTATGTTTTATGAATAAACACGATGTTTTGGAAATATTTATCAAAAGAAATTTATACTATGTTGCGAATTACAATTTCGAGATAATCTTCTTTTATTTACGAACTTATGTCTTTGATGGTGAAATTGACAACTTTATAAAAATACATTTTCACTGAAATTATGAAATCTGGGTGTCGGAAAGGTGTAAAATTATTTTTCGGAAAAGAAAAAAAACAGTAGTTGAGCTAGATAAGAAATTATACGGGGGCAGGCTCCTATGGAGAATTAACATTACTGGAAACAGGCCCTTTACTATAAGTGCTTGCGCGAAATCAAACGCATGGGAATAAATAACGACAGCTTACAATTTGGTCCCTTTAATGAGAATTGCAAAATCAATAGATAAATACCTTTTGCTTGTATTGTAATCGAAGATTTTTGAGTTTCCTCCGTTGCCATAGCATATCACACCTATCATCAAATGACGAAACCGCAGTTCTTAGTCGCTGGTGAAGAACTGTTGTGCAAAATTATAGAATAATCGTTTAGGAAACATCAATGGGAATGTTACCATTTGATTATTGTCGTTCATTTGTATATACTTTATTCCAACAGATTAGATTTTATTACCACCAGACACACACATCATATTAGCAAGAAGACGATTTTAGATTTTAAAGATGTATAACAAATTGCTATTTTCTAGGTTGATTGTGCGTTTATATTTCATTCATGTCGGGATGTATAATTCAGGCCGTGCCCCTAAACAAATGTATTATTCAACAAGTAGATGAGTAAGATTGTTATTCAAATATTGCGAGAATGATGAAAACATATCTGACATCCTTTTCTTTTTTGGTAACAGGATATTTTTGTCGTGTCTCAACATACCTAAGAAATCTACAGAAATAACTACTAAATAATTGAAGAAAATGTCATAGCATTTCTGTTGACATTTCTATCATCATTTATCTGCATTTGCTCTTGACAGTCATGATGTCTGGGATAACGATTTCTTTGGTATTGCCGAAAAAGAGGCATCAGAAATGGACCCCCAACAACGCTACGTTCTTGAATGTGTGCATATGGCACTGGAGGACGGCGGGATCACAAGAGCAGAGCTTGATGGTTCCTCAACGAGTGTTTATATTGGCGCCATGAACAATGACTCTAAAACATCTAAAGACGGTGACTATTCACTATTGACAAATTATTCCGTGACTGGAGATGCTGCCAGCATCATCACAGCTCGCGTATCGTACCACTATAACCTGCTGGGCCCTTCTCTTACCATAGACACTGCATGCTCCTCGTCTCTCGTGGCTGTCAACCTCGCAACCCAGTCTCTGAGAATCGGTATGTTATCGTTTCATGTCAGATTCTGTGTAATTAGCTGGTAAATAGATGTTATAAGAAACTATTTCTTAAAATTATATTATATATAGACCATAATCAAGTTGATGGTGATACTTGTAATCGTAAACCTACCTAAGACAGCCAATATATACCTCAACTTTTAAATTCATTTTAAATTAGGACACTGTAACAGACAATATGTTTTTATATCACCTTTTATTCTAATCTAAGGTTCGGAGGCACTTTTGAAAAAAAAATGTGCGATAAGAAATGCGGAATACATTCTGCATATTAATATCGATTTGAAGATACAAACGGTGTCATGTACATTAAAATGCTATAAATACAACCGTAATAAATCGTTTCTCCATATACATACGTATACCGGTTTTACATTATCACTTTTAGATTGCTGACTGCTTTAAGTATGCTCCGTTCTTTTGTCTATAATCATTAATTAATTTTTTACTTCGTTTTGAAGATCCGAATCTATTTTTGGAAGTTTTGACACTAATGCCAAACAACTTCATTTGCAAGTTGCTATTGATTTATGAACTGACAGAACTAATCAAGTATTCATTTTAAAACCGTTCGAGCCCCGACAGGTTCTTACCATTACTGACGGTACGGCAGATCGCTTTGTTATGCTCAAAATATAGGAATTTAGTCTATATCTTATGTGACAACTACCGACAAAAATAAACTACATCGTAATATCGGCAATGGCATTAGGGGAATGGACGGCAAATGTTCTACATCTACAAAGCCAATTTGTACAGGATGTCTCTTTGAACGCCAATATTTTTACAGAACAGTTTGTTTTGTTAGGGATCATAGCAGTTTTCGTAATAAGAACCTCAGTCCCAACAATTTTACCTGTAAAACTATCCTATTCGAATTAGAGTACCTTCATTAACTGATGTATATTTGTAATTCTTTAAGTCCTTTGTCTTTTAAAATTTAGTGTGCGTTTTGGTACCATGTTGCAGAAGTAAATGTATTTTATTTCAAAAGTAAAATTTCACAAATTAAAGAATTATTATTAACTATAACATGCTTACAATTGCATTGTTATTGTCCAAAATATTCACATTCACCAAATCACTAAACTGCCCACAAATGCTCATGGAGCATAAACACTGTACAGTCGATTAACGAAATACTCTAAACAGTACCATGCATATTCATTCAGAATATAAAGGATATGTTAGGATGTCCATACATAGGTGAATGCATATTTGAGTTTCGTAAAGACACCAATCGGTAATAAAAGCACTTGTACTAAAGGAAGAAATTTCAACAAAAATATTCATGTCGTGTAAAGATAATGTCAAATGTAGGCTTTTATGTCATTTTACAGGATGTCACAGAAACGATGCGCAAGTAACTGCATCTACCGATAACTTTTTCGCTTTTTGGCCAACATATTAATTTGCAAATATCCTTATAACCTTTTAGTTAGTTTTTTCCCTTATTGAATCGCTGTGTTTTTCACCGGTTGATGGCCCTAATGACCTTTAATGATTTGACTGACCGTTAAGTAAATGCGGCGGTTGTCGAAGGTATGGATGATGTGTCATTGCATGTTCCATTTGATGTCATCAGAATGATTTAACGACATTTGTTTTTGTTTTTGTTTTTTTTCCAAAATTCAAACAATTTAGTTTTTAATTCTTCAAAACACTTACCGTATTTCGATATCATAATTGAACTCCATTATTTTATAAAAAATTGCAATCATTGGTTGCATTTAGCATAATCCTAAGCTATCTTGAATATACATTAAATACTTTTGATATGCTTAATCTTAAAAAAAATCTCATAAACTTATTAATTTGCTACACTAATACTTTTATTATTTTGGCACTGTCAAGAAAATAACAACCACAACTAAAACTTGGAGCAACGCCCACATTTCAATCTAATTACAATGAAGATCATATTTTCATTTTCTTCGACTAGGGAATTTAAAAAGACGAAGATGATATATCGCTTGATATCTTCCGTCTTTTAATCAACATTGCCTCCAATGTCGATACATTATGAAAATATGTATCCCATCCATTAGAGAATACAAAACAGGTAAGGTATTCTCTTCGTCTAGATAGCTGTAGAAAACAAGACGTTCAAATTTGCCCTGAAACAGGTAAAGAAATGTCATCAAATTGAAAATGATTTTTCTTGTTTTAATACAAAATAGCAAAAATAACCTTCACTTGAAATTTGGTCAAAAGCAGAGGGTTTCGACAGTGAAAATTTAACAACTTCTTAATGTGCCTTATCTATCGATTTTATGTTTATTTTGAATCGGGTCTAACTTGGGGCAAAGGAGCGGGAGTCCATTATGGAGAATAATGGTTCTATTATTTTTTGTCTATTCAGGTGAATTTTTAAAGCTACAATTTCTAACCTAGGGGAAAATTTATGAATGAAACTGATTAGGAAATTGTTGATGTTAATGCCGAAAAGTACTTGAGAGGGATACAGACCAAATTGACGTCTTTTTCATATATTTGTTTTTTATTTACGACTTTTTCTATACAATTTCGTTCCTTGTTTCGTTCGTCCTTCACTCTGGCAATCTCCAGTTATGTATTGACATTTTAACTCGGGGTTCATCCAATTCTTCGCACGGGAAAAGTGAATGCTTGGGGTAAAGTTGAATGTCCAAAAGTTGAAGACCGCTGCAGTTGTTAATAGAAATCGGTTTCCACGCAAATTTTCTGTGACCAATTTCTTTATCAACCAATATTTTCTCGCAGTAGGGCCTTGCTTGGTATTTGGTTAAAGATCGTACTTTGTTTTTCACCGTGCCATTTAAAATAATGTTTCATGTGATCGTGATGAATCTAAATAGAGTAGAAAATAGTATATTAGCATTTGGTGTTGATGTTCAAATCATTCCTAACTTTCATTATCATAATAAAAATGTATTTCTTGCACCTAGGCGAGTCTTCCATGGCAATTTGTGGCGGTGTTAACAGTATTTTGTATCCAGACATGTTCGTCACTCTGACAAAAGCTCGGATGGCGTCACCAACTGGCCAGTGTCAGGCTTTCTCCGCTAATGCTGATGGCTATGCCCGAGGAGAGGGATGTGGTATTATCATTTTGGAGAGGCTTAGTGATGTAAGTCTCGCTCATTGATTTGTTCGAGTAACTATGGCATTGAGATAATAATCTATGATGAAAGTGTATTAATTCTACACTATTTAGTGATGGCATATTATAGCCACATACCTTTCAAAAATCTAAGATTGACTTCTCGTATGAATACCTGTCTCGTTAAGTAAACTTATCTCGTTATAACGGACAGCATACATTAACGAAAAAAGATTTAATCTGATTAATGCAGGCCCTGCGGAATGATAGACAAATATGGGCGACCATTCGCACGGGCTGTAACCAAGATGGTCAAACTGCAAAGCCAATCACTGCTCCGTCTGAGATCCAACAGAACCGACTTCTTCACGACATATATCTGCATTCCTACCATATCGATCCCAGTCATGTCCAGTACATAGAGGCACATGGTATGTAAGAAATGTGAAATGGTAGATGCTGACAAAATCTTCTCCTTAGAATAAATCGCCGTAAAATGGTACATTCACGTGGTTTAAATTAGTTTGTGTCGCCGCAGGCCGATCAAGCTCAAATTTCATAAAGTGCTTTCTTACCAAAAGTGCTTCCTTGTAATTGCCTTTTAGATTAATTCTTCAGATTCTCTTTGTCCGATCATATTCGAACTTCTTCCTTACAAAATGTGCTTGCTGTTGATTGCTGTTCATGTTCAAAAGTCTAGGTCACCGTCATTATCTATAGGTAATTATTATTTCATGATAACTTTTAATTTTCTTTGGCCGATCAACATCAAACTTCATATAGTGCTTTCTTACCAAAGGGGCTTGGTTGGGATTCCTTTTCAGGTTCGAATGTCAAACGACAAGGTTGATATTACTATAAATAATTTCTATCATACAGTAGCCTTAGCTAAAGAATTAGCATAGGATTGCTTTTAATGTCAAAAGTCAATTTCATTGTAGTCATCAAACTGGTTTTCTTTGATTATTTGAGTTTTCTTTTGACAATCAGACTCAAACTCCATACAATCCTTCTTAATCAAATGGGCTTGTTTGAGACTGCTTTTGCAGGTGGATGGTCCCTTTTTAGAGCAACCATTATTTTTTTTATCTGATTCTGCGCATAAATGTGATAAACGGATTTACCCGCGGTATTCAGTTCCCTTTGACACTATGCATGTGATCTGCAAGTTTATTCATCACATCTCCAACAAATGAACAACTTATATAAATGGAAAAATTACAATGAATATCTTCAGAAACCTTGCTGTGCTGGCAATGCATCCATTCCGTGGAATTACTAAACCAACGATTTTGAACGTGTGAAGCATGACAGTCACGTAACTGGTTACAGTATGTTGCAATTTGGCGTTTAAACTTATCAACAATTTGATTATTCAAAATAACAAAATATAAAACAATAGAAAGGAAAGTACAGTTAAAAAAAGTTGTCTCGAAATCGCTTGAATCGAAATTATCGAAGTCCCGATTTCGTCGAGTCGAAATTTCTTTTGAGTCGAAGTGATGGTTCAGTCCCTTCAATTGTAAAGCAAGAGAAAAGTTATTCCTTGTCTCGAAACTAATAATTGTCTAAGCATCGGCGCGTCTTCTAATGAAATCGGTCAATACATACAAACAGTCGAATGTGACCTCCTTCACGGCGTCTGATTACGACGTGACGATCTATTTACACACACCACTTTGGCACTGACGATTAATTACCAGTTTAATCATTGAATTAAACAGCGTCTCAATTAGTGTCACTATCCTGTAGAAATGGTTTACATGTACCTTAAACAGGTAGCGCGTTTACACAAGACATGATAATGGTAAGCTTGGTTGCCGGCATCTTTAGGAACGAATAAAACGAAATCATATTACCAGAGATGCAAAACATTCCAATTTAGACGGAGTTTCTCCGTTTTCAATGTCAAAATCCGCGCCTCCGATTTTACGTTTCATTCTCCGTATTTAAAAAAAAAAAAAAGATCTCGGTCATTTTGTTTTGTGTAGAAATTGCATCGACACCGCGTGTAAATTCTCATGACACCGGTTCTGGTTTCGTGTGCTCTCGGATTGTATGCAAACCTTCTTTTAGCCGTTGCTGATTCGGCTGTACCATTGTTTCTGCGCATATTCCCGGATTCGGCTATAGCAAATAAATACGAATGCAGTCGTACGAAGACGACGGCAGTAGTGCGCTGTTTGGCTTATAATGACAAGGAAGAAATGACAGGTATCAGGTGAATGAGCATCTGATTTTCAAAATTTGGCGCCCGGGAATGTATCCGCTTTTCAAGCACCACAGGTTGGCATATCTGTTTTACCCGTACGTACATTTCGGTGAATCTGTTCCCTACAATTCCGAATTTTGTGCTTGTTTACTAAAGTACTGTGTATGGGTACTTTTTTGCTAAATTTGTGGCTGGACCATACAGTATTGAAAGTATTTTGCACTGCTTTGTTGAGTCTAGTGTTTTTATAAAATTTCTCTAATATGTAAAAACTATCAAGTGGCGCCTTTTCCGTATGGTTATTAATTCATAGTAAAGTTAATATTATCTGTAGCTTTATACATCCTATGTAATAGCGTATCAAAAGCAAAGTTTCGTTTCGGGTTATTGATATTCCGTTAAACATATAATCTATATGTGCTTTGACAGTAAGGGGGTGTACACGTATGCAAGACGGGACGAAGTGAGTAGAAATGTTGTTAATTGGTGTTGTTATTACAGGTTTTGTTATTTGGATTAACAAACAATACAACGAAAAAGTATAAATCAATCAGTTTATGATATTTTACTGATATTTCAAATAATTGTATTGTGAAATCGAAGCCAGTGCCGTAATCAACATAAGAAAACCGATATTGTCAACTTTATTTGGACACTTTGTTCAAGTCGAAATTAGGTTGATTCGAAATATTTTCCACTGTCCCTTTATTTTCGAGATAACGAGTTTCAACTCGAATTTAATGATACATTAGTTGCGTAATTTGTTTGCAACTTTTATCTGTTTATTTGTTGCATCTTATTTCTAGTTCATTGCAAAGTTTTGCTCTTTCTTCTATTGAGGTACCGGAACCCCTATCGGTGACCCTACTGAGGTCAACAGTCTCGGAAGTTTCTTTAAAGATTTTCCAATACAGCATGATGAAGTGATGAAAAAGCGATATATTGGATCCGTCAAAACCAATATTGGACATCTTGAATCTGGAGCCGGAGCAGCAAGTCTTATCAAAACTCTCTTGATGATGAAACACGGTAAAATTGTACCATCTCTGCATTCACTTCCTCGGAACCCTAGGATAGATTTTGATAAGTATGGTTTAACAGTGCCTACATCAATTAAAGCATGGCCTGAATTGCTCGATGGTTCGAGAGCTGCTTGCATCAACTGTTTCGGATTTGGTGGTACGAACAGTCACGCTTTTATTAGGCAATGGGTTGAAAAGCCGCCTGAACCTACTCAAAGCAACAATGAAGCCAAGATGTTTTGCGTTCCTGTATCCGCTAAATCTCAGACATCTCTCATGATTAATTTAAAGCACATGGCTACAAAGCTTAAAGAAGAACCTTGCGATTTGAAACAATTAGCGTACACTGCTTCCTGCAAACGAGATCATTATCGCTACCGAAAATTATTCACTGAGTCAAGTATTATAGATCTTGCCAGAAGTTGCAACAATGCCATAGATATAACAAACAGCACAATTAAACCATGCAAAAACTACAGGATAGTGTATGTATTCTGTGGTGTTGGAACAGCCTGGACCAATATGGGAATGGAACTCGTTAAAGACTTTCCAGTGTTCGCCGAAACCTTGAAAAGCATTGATACATATCTGGCCTCGCTGACTGGCTGGTCAATCACTGACAAAATTCGTGACGGTGCAGAAATGAAAGACCCTTTTACAAGTCATATTGGTATATTTGCATGCCAAGTTGGACTGACGAACCTCTTAAAGCATTGGGGAATATGCCCTGATGCAATCGTTGGGCAGTCTGTAGGTGAGGTAGCAGCAGCCTATAGTAGCGAGGCTCTGTCACTGCGTGACGCTATCAAAGTTATATACTACAGGTCGAAATTCCTTGCTAAAGAGTCCGGAGGCAAAATGATTGTTGTAAGGAATGTTAGTACTGAAAAAGTAGCGAAGGCATGCAACAAAGTTGGTCATGTTAACATCGCAGTTCATATAAGTCAGGTTGCATGTACAGTAGCCGGTGGCGAGAAGCAAGTTGACGAAGTAAGATCCCTGATAGAAGAGGATGCAAAATTGACAAATCATATACCACTTATCCAAGATTTGAAAGTAAATTGTGCCTACCATAGTCAAATGGTCAAATCTGCAGCTGGACAGGTTAGAAAGTGTTTAAAAGGCATCGTGCCCAGTGCTCTGAAAACACCGGTATTCTCCACAGTGACAGGAAATATAGCAACTGATTTTGGCACACCTGAATATTGGGAACGAAATGTCTCTAAGCCCGTGTTATTTTATCAGGCACTTCTGAAATCAACAAACAAAACATCAACAGTTTTTATCGAACTGGGACCTAAACCCGTTTTGCAGATTCATTTGAGTGATATATTCAAAGACGAGGATGTCATGTCCGTTCCCTCTATGAAATCAAATAGCGGGTCATCACAAGTGCTTACTATGCTCAGTGACTTGTATACACTAGGTATAAATCCACAATGGAGAAATTTCGTACCGAAAACTGCCCAGACAACTTTACCTCAGTACCAGTTTGATGGTAGGCACTTGATGGTAGAATCAGATTACCGCTTCCTCAGGAAGAAGGGATTGATGGATGACACTTCAAGTAGGTATCTTATGTTAACAAAAAAGGGGGAAGAAGGGAAATTCAAGGTCAACATTAGTCCACAAGAAACTCCTTTTGTGTATGATCATGTCATAGATGGTGTAGTCATCATCCCAGGAGCAGTTTACACTGAAGTCGCATTTGAGATCGGAATGAGCCTTATGGGTAAACCAGCAGAATGTATGCATGTTGAGTATGATATCGTCAGAGCTATTTCCTTGTCAAAAGGCAAACCATTTTATCTTGACGTGACAACCATCATAAAGGAAACGAATAATAATGTGACGAACGTAGAATTCTCAATTTCCAAAGAAGAGATAACCGTTGCTAAAGGATTTGTTACGAACGGAAACCACACACACACGCCTATCATTCCAGTTGAAGATGTATGCGTACGATCTGGCAGACATACGAACCGCGAGGAAATATACAGCGAATTAGCAAAACATGGTTACCAATACGGTCCGTCAGTCCAGATTCTAGAATCAATTACGTATAACAATGATGAATGCACGGGGTATATACACCTCACTGACGAAGTAGAAAGGCAGATCAACCAAACCTCTTTCCATCCTGCAATCCTGGACGCTATGTTGCACTCAAGCGCATTGATTTTCCTTTCCGATAAAAAAGGGTCTTCGTACAAGATCTACCCTATTCGTCTTGGAAACGTTTCTGTATTTAGATCATTCGAGAAACGAATGGTGTGTTACACGCGAATCATACAAGAGGTATATGACAGGAGCATCACAAACATCATTCTGACTCGACCAGATGGTCTTGTACTGGCTGAGATAAAGGAAATCGAACACCAGGTCATGGACGGTAGCATGGGAGTTAACACCATGGCTTATCAGATCTGTTGGACTACTGAAGATATTTCTTCTGTTATAAATGATACGTGTGAAGAGGCAAAACCAAAAGTAACAATTTGTTCTGATGACAATGGAGTTCACAATATACTGCGAACGCGTTTTCCCCAAGGAGAATCATTCTTGTTCCCAAATACGGAAGACGACCTCGATTCATTGATGTTTTCAATAGATGATGAAAACGCCGACCTGGTCATATTTACCCCTGGTTCGAATGCTGTCCAACAAGTCCTCGATAGTAATTTCGTTTTTAATAATGTTTGTAAAAGTTGCGAGGCCTTCCTAAAAATTATGAAGAGATTGAAAGACACCGAAAAAGTCATAATAGTTGTCACTGAAAACACACAAGATAGCGGCAAAGAAAACAAAGTCGAAAGGAATATTTTTGGCTCTGAATTATGGGGATTTACCAGATCATTACGACAGGAGGGAATACGGTGCCGAATGATCCTGGTTGATGTGCAGCCATCAATCGCTTCGGAGGTCGAGACACTTCACAATACCATAACATTCCTCATGTCCGCAAACGCCTCTTCGATAATGGAATGCCTTATTGTTGATGGTCAGATTCAAAGTAACTTTCTACAACGAAGACAACAGAGGGGATTGCAAATCCAGCACAGAATGTTATCTACTGACACACGCTTCGACCTCTATCTACGGTCTACGAGGTCGGACAGGATAGAGAGACCGTTTCTGATACCAGGAGACCGCCAATGTGGATTAAGGAAAAACGTAGTCACTATCCAGGTTGACGAAATATGTATTCATTCGCCATCCGTATTTTGCGTCACGGAATTGGATGCAAGACTGAAAAATTATCTTTGGACAGATTACGTAGACGGTTATCCCGTGATTGGTTTGGAATTCCTAGGGACTATCTTAGGACCAAAACAATTAAGACGTGTTGTATCATGTTTTCCAATGAGAGTTGCAAACAGGATATCTGTACCAAAACAATGTGTATGCGATATAACAAGCTTTCGACCTTACACACCAGGCCTCATCACAAAAGCTATGACGATGTGGTCAATCATGCAACGGGTCGAAAAGAAATCTGATGTATGTATCATTACAGGTTCAGTTCAATCAGAAAATACAGTAGCAACCCTTCTTCTAGATATGCTGCAGACGGTAAAGCACTGTCGTGTGCACATAACGTCAATATGCTATCTTAATGATGCGAGATACCTTGATAATGATGTGTTTGTTTTATTTCAAAAATTTTCACAAGACGACATAGCATGCGTTTTACGATCCGGAATCGTACTTATAGGTTTTGATGATGAGATGTCATTCCTGACCTCTCAAGTTTTCCAGATGAGTGCTAAGGACATCGGAATCATAGCAGTGAAGAGAAGCAATACTTTCACAATGAATATTACTACTACCTTTTCAAAAGTCACTCGTTGGTTAAAACGGCATCCGAAACGATACATCCTGTCTGATGATACTGGGGGGCTACTTCCGACAATCAGACTTAACGGCGCAAAAAGTGCTGATAAGTTGGATATAAAGACTAAAGCAATGGAAAACAAGCTCTTTTATAAAAATGCAACATATGTGGTTGTGGGTGGACTTACTGGCCTTGGTTGGGAAATCGTCAAGTGGCTGGGCTACCAAGGTGCAGGGATAGTAGTAACACTATCAAGGAAAGGCCACAATCCACAAATGAAAGAACAAATTCAGAACGCCATGGACATACATAAGTATGAAATAATTCCAACAAAATGTGATGTTAGCAATTATGCAGACGTAAAGAAAACGTTTGATGAAATAAGAATACAGTTTCCATATCACCCAATAAAAGGGATATTTCAGGGTGCTGGAGTGCTGAGAGATACTCGTACTGAAAACATGACAATGGACAAATTCAAGGAAGTGTTGCAACCAAAGGTTTTAGGAACCTGGAATCTACATCTCGTATCGAAGGGTTTACTTTTGGATTTCTTCGTCATGCATTCTTCTACTACATCTGTGTTTGGAAACGCTGGTCAGACAAATTACGGAGCTGCAAATTCCTTCCTGGATTCATTGGCCTTTTACAGACGAGCCAAAAATCTACCTGGACAGACCATTAACTGGGGCGCATTATCCGTGGGTATGGCGAATGACGAAAAGACACGAAATATCTTAGAAGCTCAGGGTTTTTATGTGCTTGAAACAGAAGAGATCAAAGAATGCCTGAAGGATTCATTGATTCGTAATCCGTGCCAAATTGTGTACGGTAGGTTTGACTGGAATATCATAGGTAAAAACCCGTCCATGATGCGAACTTCCGCATCTGCTAGTGATGAGATAGTAGAAGCACGTGAGACTACGGGCCAACGACGTGTCGTCAATACTTTGCTGGATCAGTCTACGATAATGGAAGAACCATTTGAGGAACAAAGAAAGACAATCACACGTTTGTTGTTCAACATTATATCAAAGGTTTTATCGATTGATGTAAGAGAATTAGATGAAAATCTTAATCTTCTAAGCTTAGGTATGGAGTCACAAAAAGCCGTGGAATTGATCCAATTAGTAAAAGAAGCCACAGGGTGTCGTCTTCCGGTTGCTTATATCCTTTCTCCTAATCAAACCATAGGAATATTGATTGATTTTGTTCATACAAACATAATAGATAATGCAAAAATGAATGCAACTGAAACTTCTGCTGAAGTAAAAAATGACGTGCACGGATCACCTTCTTGGATGGAAAAGCTTTACATAGACATGTGCAATAACAACGCTATGGATACTAGTCTTTGGTTTAGCACTGATTTTAAACTTGGAAGGGGTTTATCTAATGTGAAAACATGGCAAACTGTATTGAGGTGGATCACAATCAGAAACCCGGAATTGAGAACTTTGTATCAACAAACTGATAACCAGCTCCGATTTGGTATGAAGAAAATCGTTTTGGATCCAGAGGATGCAAAAATAGACCTACGCTGCGTAGACTCGCGCGTGATGACAAGAATGACAGACAAGGATATTGTCAAATATTGCTCTTTTGATATTACAAAAGATCCACCGTTGCGGACTCTGTATTGCAACAAAGGAAAAAACCATCGCATAAGATTTATAATAAGTCACGTTAGTTTCGACTTGCAAAGTTTTTTTACATTGGTGCCACAATTACATCGTTACCTACGGGCATATATCTTAAAGAATGATGTCACAGTTCAAGCAGTAGAAGCACTAGATATTGCCGTATTAATGGAAGAACGTATAAATGCTGATAGGTTCTATCTTGAGAATTACTGGAAAGGAGAGCTTAATAAAATTTGCGGGATACCCTCTATAAACGGTGCTGAAAAGGACATACAACTATCAGAGAAAACCGAGAAGTTAACGATGCACTTACCCAAAGAGTTAGTGGATAAGATTAATGACAACGATTACGGGGTAACTACGCCTTTTTTCTTGTTAAGCTTGTATCAGATTATTTTACAAAAGATGACGAGTGTTCATGTCGTTCCTGTTGTAATGGTGGTTGACATGCGCCGACACTTCCCGCAGTTCAATGACAGGATATTTCTTGGTACTAATTACATACCAGTCATTACAGAATTCAAAAGCCCCATATTAACATTACAGGAGTGCATCGAATTATGTTCAAAGCAGGCGATATTCTCTATTGAAAACAGCCTCTACCCTTTCGAACTCATCAAACAACTTCATGCAAAGAAACAAAACTGTTTCAGACATTTTTTCAACGTCAGAGATATACCAATGCAACTTGCCAAACCCACTCAAAACTCCAGGTACTACATGGAAAGTGTGGGTTACGTTACAGGTTTTCTTAACCAAATCGAGACAGCTTTGAATGTTGTTACAGATCGTAAGACAGGATTAATAGAACTAGTGTTAAGTTACGATTCAAAAAGTATTAGTTCGTCACAAGCAAACAGAATGCTCAATGATGTCTCCATCTTGGCTTGTGCTACTTTGACAAACTCAGACCTACAGCTAAATGAGGTTCCATTGGAATGTTGTTGGACGACTTATGCCTCAGCCAAAATGGACAAATATTTGTCAACAGGTAATTATACTTTCTTGATTAAAATTTTACCAAATTATTCTATACTACACAAAACACTGGCTCTAAAAGTGAAAGCTGTGAATTTCTAAGCTAATCTGTAAAACCAACTGTTGCCTTTGATTAACAATATCCCTCATTATTGTTCTGTAATCAAGGTATAAAACCGATTTTTTGCCAAGCAGAACGTGGCCCTATTGTGGTTTAGATATCAGTCTCCAGTAGAAATGCACTGTCTTTGACTATTCGCTAACTAGTATTTTAAATAATAAAATTACCGTGAGTCTAAACAATGTACGACCATCCCATGCTAAAGGTATATTCACTATCTATTGTAAAGAAAAAATACAAATCTGCCTATAAAAGACATCGCCCAATCAGATGCAGTGATCATGGTAGGATCTGAATTACAAATTGGATTAAAGAATATGTGAATATTGTCTATCCATTTATTCGCGTCACGCCACAATACCGAAAATTGCATATTATGGGTCATGAAAATCAGACCATTTTGCAATACATCATGGTATATTTCCTGCAAAGTTGTGCTAGGTAGTAGTATTCATAACCCTTTCTATCATTTACATTAATTGAACATAATATCTAATGTCCCATCGGCAGTGAAAAGGTATTATAGTTAAATTTCAAAAGTTTAAAATCATATTACAACTGTAAAAAATGTTCAATTTTTTACCATCTCGTTCATTACATACGCCAGTTCTAGACCACGTCACACTGATCATTTATCTGATAAAGGTGACAGTGTAGTTATAGAAGCATTACACTTAAACCATCTACTGGTTGTGTTATTAGATTGTTTTATGATATTGACATAAGTGACCTGCAAAAGAATAGTCCAAGATATACCTTATTTTGAGAAATGTTCTTTTTTACATCATAACCAAGATCTTTGGTTGTTTTCAGTGATATTTATGAAAGAGACGACACAAGGCTGGGAACACCCGGCACAGCTGATGCTAAACGTCATTAACAATGTACCAAAGATAGCGTGGGTCCATCCTGATGAAAGTAAAGGCTCTCTACGAGGTGAAGTGCCAATCAAATGTGTCCTTGATGTCGACATCGCGAGACTATGTGGTGCGTTATCAAAGATAGTTACAAGAATGTTTGTTATATATTAAGTGAAGTAATCACTACTTGACATATATATTTGCGATTGATTTGTTTTGAAATTTCACGCTCGGAGCTGAGGTCATTTGAAGACTTTGTCAGTAGAAAAAGAATTATGCAAAATACGTTTAAAAGTGATTCGAGACTTCGAAATAAACTGCTAAAGATATTCGCCTTTAAAGCAATATAATGATATTGTCTGAAGTCTTTTTCTATTCTACTGAATGTATTCTGTTAGCATCATTCCTACCAACTCTATTTTTTAAGATGGCACTTGATGCATTTGATTAGGAGTTATGTGGAAATATCGCTGTTCGGTATTGTTCAGAAATCTTTTTATATTCTGTACATCATTCAATTATTTTTCAATTGTCATTTTTCCATTTTTCGTTTTTGATGCATTTAATTTTTGTTTTGAAATATTTTAGTTTATAGTACTGTGTCATTGTGTCTCTTTATCTCTTATACATACTTAATCAATAAAAAGACTAACAAGATTTGTTGGGGCGGCAAAGGATTACGCAGGATGTCTGTTTATGGACGTATAAATGCTGGCCAATATTCCTCATGGTTCGTTAATTTTGTGTGATGTACTAGACATGTGTTGGTCATGTCTCTAAGAACTGTGTTAGCAACTTGTGTGTCCATCATTGGCAAGTACCACGGCATTACAACGACGGAACAGAGATCTTGTATGTTGTTGTATATTGTGAGTCGGGTGCTATCTTCCCAGTGTCACACTATTCGTGCAAGAAGTCGTCAACTTACATAACACAAGGTTTCTAAAGATATAGGTTGATGAAAATTAGCGCGAAGATCTACTGTTATCATGGTGATTTAATTAAGAATTATTCCATTTCCTTTGGGCGATATGTGCGATGTTCTTAGTTTAGTTTACCTGTAGGTTCCGTCGTCATATTCCTTATATTTTGCCTATATAACATACTATCACTTACCATTTAAGTCTTTTGTGATAATATAACCGTTTAAGATTTTTACCTTTTTTCTTTCACCTGTTTTATTTTTTGAGTGTCATTGATAAAGCAGAAGCAATCTATTTGCACTCAACATGTTGACATTTTATTTCCCTGCGTTTTGTTTTACGCGACAATCGTTGAATTTCACATCCGACTGATATCACTAAAACTGTTGACAACTAATCTAGAGATTCCTTCAAAACACATCAGTGACTGAAAATTGTTTGTGTGATCAACAAATGTTTGGTGTACGGAAAAGGAGTTTGATGACCGTTAACTTTATCTTTAAGGTATATGATCCCCCGTTAAATCGAGAATGTTTTAATAGGTAAACAACATAAAAATTTAAGACAAAAATATATAAGAATGATTTACATGGAAACAATCAGACAGGTACGAAGTATTGAGAATAATTAGTGTCTTGTGCTTTGTCAGCGACACCCATTTATTTGAGTTATTCCGGTTAGTGTCATACTTTCAAAAATTGTTATGTGTACAGCATTTTCAATTGAAATCAAGATGGCGCTATGACACTTCACTATAGTAAGCATGAACCTGCGTCTCTCATAATCCAATGTTGCAAGTTTATCTGTCATTGATGATATAGGGAAAACGTCCTTGAATTTCCAAGCAAACACAACATGTTAACACAAAAAGTTTGGAAAACAGTTTTTTACATTGTAGAAATGGAAAAAAACATAATAGAGAAATTGTATTTATAAATTTATCAAATAATTTGGTGGAAAGCGGTGCCTGGATGTCTCGCTGTTGAAAAAGGTCGCGATTTGGTGTACTAATGTAGAAATACCTACTGTGGCCGTGATTTGCTGATGTATATAATGGGCACCAATGCACTTGGAAGCTTTAGCCAGCTTTAAAACCTGGGCCTCGTATTCTTACAAATAAATAAGGAAATGACACACTCTAATTACCAGGAATGTGTTCGAAAACATGAATAGGAAGGATGTCTAAAGTTGTAAAAATTAACAACAACTATCCTTCGCCCGTCGAACAATTCTATCTTCAAGAAGCAGAATTTTTCATATCAACTTTAGTGTAGCAACAAACAAAATCAAAGATAAGAATTTTGGGAGACATAACGATCGATACTTAATTTTTCTGCCGTGATTGTCATTACTTCTCTTGCTCATGTAGAAATGTGAAAAGCAGAATTGCTTACTCATCCTCTACACCTGGTCTCATTCTAGTACTTTTTCGGACGTCTCCGTGTTAATATGTCTTTTTAGGGGAATTTTGTCCTGGCTCTATTGACGTTTATGTTGGATTATGATTATGGTTACATGTTGACTTTGTCTTGTTTTCAGGTAGCAGGTGGTATGTAGGTTAAAGACTTTAATTTAACTTAGTTCCCAGACTTCGTCAGTTACATAGTTCAACAATATTATCAGGAAAGCGCTGATTCGTTTTGCTATTTTTCTCTTTTGAAGAGCTAAAAAGTGTATCATGAATTACTTTCCTTATCTGTTTGAAGTATTTACAGAATTTGTGTACTTAACCGATTTTATAAAAATTACAGATTTATGGTGCTTAATCATCCAGACAACAAACAGGCGATATTGCTTCAAGACGAGCGACTACTTTATGGTTCAAGCATTGAAAGCCAGGATCCGTAATCTCATGTCTTCCAACACACATATATTGGAGAGTGTTACCAAATGATCTGATTGAAGTTTGCAACACCAGCATTTCTGCTTAAAAGGCCGTCAAAATATTTTTTAAATGTCACTCTTTGTATTGTGACAAGGCGTAGAGGATAATTTAAGTGTAATTTCTGTGATTCTTTGACATATTTTAAGTTAAGCATACAAGTGTTTGTATTAAAAAAGAGTATCGCGTTGTTTGCTAAATGTCGTCTTAGATATCTTTGAAAATGAACATAAATCTCTTGGCATTATAACATAGAGTTCTAACATATATTAAGGAAGTATTAATTGATACAATATCAAGAATTTGAAGCATAGATACACTCGATTCTAAAGGCTTCGTTTCATAAATGTTGTGAGTGATGTAAATAAATGTTCAGTCATTATTCACTTTTTTCATGTCTTAGAATATTTTTAAAAATGGAATGGGGGGGGGGGGATGTAATCAGAGTATAATGGAATTATAGAAAGATACTTTAAAATTGATGATATGAACGTGATTATGTAAGAATGAACCGGATATATATAATTTGTAAATAAATGTTCAGTCATTATGCACTTTTTTTCATGTCTTAGAATATTTTTAAAAATGGAATGGGGGGGGGGGATGTAATCAGAGTATAATGGAATTATAGAAAGATACTTTAAAATTGATGATATGAACGTGATTATGTAAGAATGAACCGGATATATATAATTTGTAAATAAATGTTCAGTCATTATTCACTTTTTTTCATGTCTTAGAATATTTTTAAAAATGGAATGGGGGGGGGGGGATGTAATCAGAGTATAATGGAATTATAGAAAGATACTTTAAAATTGATGATATGAACGTGATTATGTAAGAATGAACCGGATATATATAATTTGTAAATAAATGTTCAGTCATTATTCACTTTTTTTCATGTCTTAGAATATTTTTAAAAATGGAATGGGGGGGGGGATGTAATCAGAGTATAATGGAATTATAGAAAGATACTTTAAAATTGATGATATGAACGTGATTATGTAAGAATGAACCGGATATATATAATTTGTAAATAAATGTTCAGTCATTATTCACTTTTTTTCATGTCTTAGAATATTTTTAAAAATGGAATGTAAGAATGAACCGGATATATATAATTTGGGGGGGGGGGGGATGTAATCAGAGTATAATGGAATTATAGAAAGATACATTAAAATTGATCATAAGAACGTGATTAAGTAAGAATGAACCGGATATATATAATTTGTAAATAAATGTTCAGTCATTATTCACTTTTTTTCATGTCTTAGAATATTTTTAAAAATGGAATGGGGGGGGGGTGTAATCAGAGTATAATGGAATTATAGAAAGATACTTTAAAATTGATGATATGAACGTGATTATGTAAGAATGAACCGGATATATATAATTTGTAAATAAATGTTCAGTCATTATTCACTTTTTTTCATGTCTTAGAATATTTTTAAAAATGGAATGGGGGGGGGGGATGTAATCAGAGTATAATGGAATTATAGAAAGATACTTTAAAATTGATGATATGAACGTGATTATGTAAGAATGAACCGGATATATATAATTTGTAAATAAATGTTCAGTCATTATTCACTTTTTTCATGTCTTAGAATATTTTTAAAAATGGAATGGGGGGGGGGGGATGTAATCAGAGTATAATGGAATTATAGAAAGATACTTTAAAATTGATGATATGAACGTGATTATGTAAGAATGAACCGGATATATATAATTTGTAAATAAATGTTCAGTCATTATTCACTTTTTTTCATGTCTTAGAATATTTTTAAAAATGGAATGGGGGGGGGGGGGGGATGTAATCAGAGTATAATGGAATTATAGAAAGATACTTTAAAATTGATGATATGAACGTGATTATGTAAGAATGAACCGGATATATATAATTTGTAAATAAATGTTCAGTCATTATGCACTTTTTTTCATGTCTTAGAATATTTTTAAAAATGGAATGGGGGGGATCTAATCAGAGTATAATGGAATTATAGAAAGATACTTTAAAATTGATGATATGAACGTGATTATGTAAGAATGAACCGGATATATATAATTTGTAAATAAATGTTCAGTCATTATTCACTTTTTTTCATGTCTTAGAATATTTTTAAAAATGGAATGGGGGGGGGGGGGGATGTAATCAGAGTATAATGGAATTATAGAAAGATACTTTAAAATTGATGATATGAACGTGATTATGTAAGAATGAACCGGATATATATAATTTGTAAATAAATGTTCAGTCATTATTCACTTTTTTTCATGTCTTAGAATATTTTTAAAAATGGAATGGGGGGGGGGGGGGGGGATGTAATCAGAGTATAATGGAATTATAGAAAGATACTTTAAAATTGATGATATGAACGTGATTATGTAAGAATGAACCGGATATATATAATTTGTAAATAAATGTTCAGTCATTATTCACTTTTTTTCATGTCTTAGAATATTTTTAAAAATGGAATGGGGGGGGGGATGTAATCAGAGTATAATGGAATTATAGAAAGAAACTTTAAAATTGATGATATGAACGTGATTATGTAAGAATGAACCGGATATATATAATTTGTAAATAAATGTTCAGTCATTATTCACTTTTTTTCATGTCTTAGAATATTTTTAAAAATGGAATGGGGGGGGGATGTAATCAGAGTATAATGGAATTATAGAAAGATACTTTAAAATTGATGATATGAACGTGATTATGTAAGAATGAACCGGATATATATAATTTGTAAATAAATGTTCAGTCATTATTCACTTTTTTTCATGTCTTAGAATATTTTTAAAAATGGAATGGGGGGGGGATGTAATCAGAGTATAATGGAATTATAGAAAGATACTTTAAAATTGATGATATGAACGTGATTATGTAAGAATGAACCGGATATATATAATTTGTAAATAAATGTTCAGTCATTATTCACTTTTTTTCATGTCTTAGAATATTTTTAAAAATGGAATGGGGGGGGGGGGGATGTAATCAGAGTATAATGGAATTATAGAAAGATACTTTAAAATTGATGATATGAACGTGATTATGTAAGAATGAACCGGATATATATAATTTGTAAATAAATGTTCAGTCATTATTCACTTTTTTTCATGTCTTAGAATATTTTTAAAAATGGAATGGGGGGGGATGTAATCAGAGTATAATGGAATTATAGAAAGATACTTTAAAATTGATGATATGAACGTGATTATGTAAGAATGAACCGGATATATATAATTTGTAAATAAATGTTCAGTCATTATTCACTTTTTTTCATGTCTTAGAATATTTTTAAAAATGGAATGGGGGGGGATGTAATCAGAGTATAATGGAATTATAGAAAGATACTTTAAAATTGATGATATGAACGTGATTATGTAAGAATGAACCGGATATATATAATTTGTAAATAAATGTTCAGTCATTATTCACTTTTTTTCATGTCTTAGAATATTTTTAATAATGGAATGGGGGGGGGATGTAATCAGAGTATAATGGAATTATAGAAAGATACTTTAAAATTGATGATATGAACGTGATTATGTAAGAATGAACCGGATATATATAATTTGTGAATAAATGTTCAGTCATTATTCACTTTTTTCATGTCTTAGAATATTTTTAAAAATGGAATGGGGGGGGGGGATGTAATCAGAGTATAATGGAATTATAGAAAGATACTTTAAAATTGATGATATGAACGTGATTATGTAAGAATGAACCGGATATATATAATTTGTAAATAAATGTTCAGTCATTATTCACTTTTTTTCATGTCTTAGAATATTTTTAAAAATGGAATGGGGGGGGGGGATGTAATCAGAGTATAATGGAATTATAGAAAGATACTTTAAAATTGATGATATGAACGTGATTATGTAAGAATGAACCGGATATATATAATTTGTAAATAAATGTTCAGTCATTATTCACTTTTTTTCATGTCTTAGAATATTTTTAAAAATGGAATGGGGGGGGGGGGATGTAATCAGAGTATAATGGAATTATAGAAAGATACTTTAAAATTGATGATATGAACGTGATTATGTAAGAATGAACCGGATATATATAATTTGTAAATAAATGTTCAGTCATTATTCACTTTTTTCATGTCTTAGAATATTTTTAAAAATGGAATGGGGGGGGGGGGAAGTAATCAGAGTATAATGGAATTATAGAAAGATACTTTAAAATTGATGATATGAACGTGATTATGTAAGAATGAACCGGATATATATAATTTGTAAATAAATGTTCAGTCATTATTCACTTTTTTCATGTCTTAGAATATTTTTAAAAATGGAATGGGGGGGGGATGTAATCAGAGTATAATGGAATTATAGAAAGATACTTTAAAATTGATGATATGAACGTGATTATGTAAGAATGAACCGGATATATATAATTTGTAAATAAATGTTCAGTCATTATTCACTTTTTTTCATGTCTTAGAATATTTTTAAAAATGGAATGGGGGGGGGGGGGGGGATGTAATCAGAGTATAATGGAATTATAGAAAGATACTTTAAAATTGATGATATGAACGTGATTATGTAAGAATGAACCGGATATATATAATTTGTAAATAAATGTTCAGTCATTATTCACTTTTTTTCATGTCTTAGAATATTTTTAAAAATGGAATGGGGGGGGGGATGTAATCAGAGTATAATGGAATTATAGAAAGATACTTTAAAATTGATGATATGAACGTGATTATGTAAGAATGAACCAGATATATATAATTTGTAAATAAATGTTCAGTCATTATTCACTTTTTTTCATGTCTTAGAATATTTTTAAAAATGGAATGGGGGGGGGATGTAATCAGAGTATAATGGAATTATAGAAAGATACTTTAAAATTGATGATATGAACGTGATTATGTAAGAATGAACCGGATATATATAATTTGTAAATAAATGTTCAGTCATTATTCACTTTTTTTCATGTCTTAGAATATTTTTAAAAATGGAATGGTGGGATGTAATCAGAGTATAATGGA